AAAAGCATGCCTGATTTTTTACCTGTGACTCGAACCTTACCAGTACCGAAGTACCTTTCAAATGCATTGACCATACTGTTGCATTGGCTAAGATTTTATTGGTTAATAACTAGTTGGTTATTAATTAAAATAATTTAGTTTTTGGTATCTTTAGTTATTTCAAGTTCAGATTGGGTTTTATTACTTAGTAGTATATTTAGAATATGTGTTTAGGACATCTATTTTTATATCTGTGATTAAAAATTCATTAATTTTAATATCTACAAGCATTTTTTTGAGTATTTGCACATGGTTTCCTACTGCTTCAGCAGTGGTTGGTTTTTCTATGAGTTTATGCATTCCTAGTTTTTTAGCATGATTTATGCCTATTATGGTGTTAGTGGATCCTTTGTCTAGTTTTAATTCTATTAGTTTTTTATTTACTAGTGCAATAAGATAGAATCCTTTCACTCCTTTAGATTTCTTAGGATTTATTATAGTTTTATTTGAAAAGTATAATTTATTATATGCGACAGAGTTTATTTCTTGGTTAATATTTTCTTTATTAAATATATATATTTCTTTGTTATTACATTTATTCTTTAATTTATTAAACTCTCCTATATAGCCAGTGTATGTTTGTGAAAGTAAGTCACGAGTATAGGGCATGCCTCCTATGTAAAATATATATTTTCTAGATTGTTTGTAATTGTTCCTGTGTAGAAATTTCCTTATAATTGTCCATACTGTTTTGGTAAACATTTTTTGCCTTTTAGAATTCTTAGAAACTTTGAAAGTCTTCATATTCTTTATTTTTGTGGAGGTTGTTGGTTTCTATAGATGATACATTTTTATAGCAATCTGTGATATTATGAGTAAATGATTTGCAGATTGTACAAGTAGGTGTTCTGGTTATGAATTTTCCTTCTTTGTCAAAATTCTTTTTGAAGATAATTCCTTTGTTAAGATTCCATTATTCTGGATTAAATTAGGTTGTCTTGCTTGGTAAGGTGTTTGTTTTTGTTTCATGAAGTTTCGTGATTGCTTTTCTTGTCATTGTTTTTTAAATTTGTTAAAATTGGTTTTTGATTTTTGACCAATTTCTGTTATGATCTGATTTTGTTGGAATTGTGAAATAGTTTGTGGTTTATGTTCAAATTGTGGTGGCAGATTATTTCTTCATTTTCTTCCTGGTTTCTTTTGGTTAAAAGTTTTTTTCTATTTTTCTTTCTTGGCATTGTTTTGGTTTTGGTTATTGCTATTTCTATGTCTTCCTTTTCTTTTGTTGTAGAAAGATCTAAAATTCTTAAAAGTTTCTTTGGTAGAGCATTCTCTAAAGAAGTGGCCTACTTTTCCACAATTGAAATATTTTGATTGACTGATATCAACTATTTGGTAATTATATTGTTGCTGTTGATATTTTTTAGATTTTTAGTATTGTAGAATTCTTTTTCTTGATAGTTATCATTCTGGTTTCTTTGTTTCCAAGATTTCTTTTGAATATAATTAATATTCTTTTGCTGTTGTTAAGGGTTTTTACTTCTAAAATAAGTTCCTACTTCTGAGTCTTTATAGTACTTATATGTTCTATGTAATGCATTCCAAAATTTCTTTTCAGAGTTGATATTTGATTCATATGATTTTATTTGACTCCAATAGTTTTCTTCTTGGTGTCTTCTAGATGGTAGAGTATCTATCATCAATAATTTTAAACCTTTTGCAAAGTTTTGCTTATAATTTGATATTTTTATTTGCCTATTGAATTTGTCTATGAATTCTTCATCTTCATGTGTTTTTATTGCATACCATGGGTTAAATCTTAATTTTCTAAATACTTGTTGTGCTTCTAATGTAAATTCTGAGATAATATTTTGTGTTTTCATCCATAATCTGAATAATACTTGTGTTAACTTTATGTCCGTAGTGTTATTATAAAAAGCAAGGATGTCCTGTCCTGTTTTTTTGTTATTTCTGACATTTGTTTTTGTAAATTTGTTATTTAGTTTCTTTGAAAATCTAATAGGATTTAATATTACTGCATCAGCATCATTTAATATAGTAGCACTAGTATCATAGAGGTAGAGCTTACAGATTCCCTATTCGAATAATATTCGAATAATCTAGATCAAAAAATATCTATTCAAATATTCGCTGAATGACTAGCAGAATTCGAATAAGTACTATTTATTCGAATAACATATAGTTATTAGATACGAAGCAGTAAATTATATATCGTTACTATGTGTAAATCAGCCAATAACTAAAGTCTTACATGACGAATAATGAAAATTATTCGAATAAAATTTGCTTATTCAAATAAAATATTTTATTCGAATTATTCATCAGATAAATATTTATTCGAATATTCGCCGAATACGAATATTATTCGAATAATAAATACGAATACGAAGCTCTACATAGATGCATTCTCATTTATATAGTAAAATTCTTTTTTCTCTATCAAAGTCACTACAAAAGTAGCAATTAAACAATGCTGCTTTTGCTTGGTATTTTTTATATATTTCCATTGTAAAGCATTGTATAGCTATTTTGTTAATTACTAGTTTCATAAAGTATATATTAAACATTCCAGTTGTTGCATTCTTTATTGATTCATCATTTGTTTTGAATCTTGTCCATTCTTTCTTTGAGTTTTCAGTGAAGTATCCTGTTGCTAATAATTCTAATAGTATTTTTTCTTGTATCATTTTTTCAAATTCTATACTTCATTCTAGCCAGTTTGCATTATTGCATTTCTAGTTTCTCATTAATTCATTAAAGTTTCAGTTTGTTATGTCAACAAATTCATCATTTTCTGCTATTTTATTTGTTTATTTTATTTGCTAATTCTTGTAGAGTTTTGTCAGTTATAGATTTAGATTCTCTGATTCTCCAATGTATTCATAGTTTAACTTGTAGCTACTTTTCTTTTTCAGTTCGAAGTTGTTATATTTCACTGTTTCTTTGATTAATTTTCCTTCTGAGTTTTTGAATTTTGTTTTCTATTATCGATTCTTTTTCTTGTAGTGTCTAGATTATTTGCTCAGTGTTTACCATTTATTTTGTAGTATCATTTATATTTAATATTAGTAATATATTTGCTAATAGGCAATATTGAATATAGTCTTCTTTTACTTGGTTTGCAATTAATAGTTCTCTATATATTATATCGTATCTGTTAAGAATATGTCTATACTTTATATAATTAAATACTTCTTCTCTCTTGTAGTTTGGTATAATTATTTTTGTAAACAGTTTGTTGAAATACTTTTTGTCTTGGTTTTGTATTATCCTTACTATCTTTAATTTATCTTCACTGGATAATGTTAGGTATTCAGATGTGTGTTTGTATTTAAGTATTTTGTAAATACTGTTTGATAATACTTTCTTACTTCTAATCTGTATTTTGATATTAGATATTTGAATATCTACTATTGAAATTCATAATTTGCTAATCTGGTTACTCTGTATTGGGGTTGTCTTCATTTTTGGCTTTGCATAAATATTTTACTACAGTGTGTTTCTTTATGGTATCTAAATCTTGTTAGTATGCTTTTGCAATTGCTTCAATATATTCATCTGATTCTTCTTTTCTTATTGAAAATACTAAGTATGCAAATACTATGTCTGTACTAGTAGCTTTTTTTTGGTTAATAATTATTTTTGCTTTTTGGTAAACCTTTTCTTCTTGTAAGGTTAATTGTTGATATTTTGATTTGAGTATTTGTTTTTCCTGTTGTTCTAATTCTTTCAATATTTGATCTGTTGTTTTGAGTTCTTAATAAGTTTAGATTTGTCATCTTCACAATATCTTGAATTTGGTATATTTTCAAAGTTGAATATGTTTGGTAAGTTTGTTATTAAACTACATCGTTGTTATTGGTGTTATAGTATTGTTAACTGTTTCTCCTGTTCATATTTGACTATTAATATAGTTTTTTGCTATAACAAGTTTTTCTTGAGTTTTCTGATTATGTTTTGTCTAGATAATTACTCCTGCTACTAGTATTACTAGTATTATAGATACAATATCTTGATCTATAATATTTTGGTTGTTAAAGTATTCTAGTGTTGTAGTTTCTGTAGTGAATACTGTCTGGGTAATGGTTGTTGATATACCAGTTGGTGTTACAAATTGGGTTAAAGTTGGTATAGTAAGTATTATGAAGTGAATTGTTGTTGTCCTGCAACTATCCTTATTAAAAGTAATAATAGGATAAAGAGTTTTATTTATATCTAAATAAATAATTAATCTTTTGAGTATTTGGTCCAAATAGGTTTTGTTATAAATAGTTTATTATTTCTTATTGTTGGTTTTGAGGTAAATTTGCTATTTGTTATAGTATCAAATTATATAGGTGCTGTTGGTTTGTTTGGTAGTTTTGGTTTAAAAAAGTTTATTTGTTTCTTTAGATTTCTTCTTTTTTTATTATTTCTTCATGTAAAACACATTTAATAGTAGATATCTTGGTAATAAATGTCTCTATCTATTTCTCTTTAAAAGTCTACTATAAAGGGTATTTCTCCTGATAAGATTTGGGGTAAATATTGAGATATTGTGCTTGGTATTGTTTCTGTGGTGCTTTACTTGGTTCTCTTTTTCTATTTCTTTGTTGTTTCTTTTTATGACAAGTAAAGTATAATATTGTTGAAATAATTAAGAATAATAATAAGAGTATTCTAATAATTATTACTATAATGTAAATAGTTGTGGTGGTATCTGGTTGTATTGGTGTTAATGTTGGGTTTGTCATTTATTTCTAGCAACAGCAGCCTGAGTTTTGGTCTGTGTAATATCCAAGTGTTGAGTGTTGTTTATATAGTCTTGTTGTTGTTTACAACAAATAATAGTAATGGTAAGTATCCAAAGTACAATAGCAAATAATAATATTATAAGTAATGTTGATGCAGGTAGTTCAAATATAGAATTGGTACAAGTTGTTGTTTCAGAATTAAGGTTGGAGTTATTGTTTGGACTGTTGTTATTAAATTGGTAAGGTATTAAAGTAGCAAATAGTACAATGACTATTCCTAATATTGTAGTTAGAATTAAAATAATAATTGATATTTTGATTTGTACGTTTTGTGGTTCAATAAGAAGTATTGCTATCAGTTCAGCTGCGAGTATGATTGCAATTAAAGTTACGATTAATATTTGTTTGTTTGGGTTCATAAAAATAGATATTGGAGTATAATAGTTAGTTTTAAGTGAAATATCCATCTTCAGATCCTGATTGTTCTGATTGATTCGGGGTGTTTACTTTTGCAAATTTAGCTTTCTTTCCTGGTTTAAAGTATAATAGTAATCCAGTTTCTACTGTAGAAAATTGTTGTCATGATTGTGATTGTGGTTGTGTTAATTGTGTAGCTAATTGTTAGATTTGTTGTGAAGTTAGAGTATTGTTTGGTGGTTGTGTAAATAGGTGTGTGTTGCTATATGTATTGATGAATTGACTTTTATATTGTTTCTTTTTCTTTTGTACACATTTAAAGCAAATAATCAGAGTTGTAATTATTGTTGTTAATATAGTTAATAATGCGCCTAATACTTCAATAACAGTGACTAAAGTATTGTTTAAATTGTTTGTTGGCATCGGTGTTATTATAACAATAGTTGGTTGCATATTCGGGAATATGGTTTGGCTTATTTAGCTTAATTGTATGGAGCTTAGAGTTGTAGTTGTTGGTGTTTGTGTAATCAGGATGAAAATAATAATTTGTGCTTGAGTTTGTCTTAAATATAATATGAGTATTGTCAAGATAAATAATTTTGATACATGAATATTTATGTAAAATAGTTTCACTTGTATTGTTTCTAATAATATAGTATCATCATAGGTGATCAATCTAAGAGTTTACTATTAAGTAAATTAGTCTCTTTATTCACTAATTTCTCTTCATTATTGGGGTTTAATCTGGTAAGTATATTACTTAATAAGTTACTTAATTATACAATAGATATTCGATAAGATAATAGTTTATTTAATATAAAAGTTTCTTTATTAATAAAATATGATATTGTTATACAAGAGTAGTTTTAATTCAATATTTTAAGCTTTGATAAATAAGATGTTTAGCAATCAATGTTGTTACTAATATGAGGGGTGTTGTTAAAATTATTAAAAATATTGCAAGAATAACTAATAATAATAAATCGCTATATGTTTCTAGATTTTCAAATAAATATATGATGGTAGTTATAAATTGACTTACATGAAATATTTTACTATAAAAGTATTTTTATATATTAGGGATTATAAGTGTTGAATATAAGGAGTTAAATTTAAAATTACATGCATAAAGTTTGCTAAGGTGAAATTTTGATGTTTAAATACATTTTGAATAATATGAATCAGTATAATATTAATTTTCTAAACTATCTAACTATTTAGCTATTATGCCATTGCGTAGTTTATTTTTTTAAAGTATATATCTAAGTATAATATATTTATTGCTAATATTCATCAGCTTTGATAAGTATTATCTGAATTTCTTGGTACTCATGTTGTGTTGCTTGGTAGTAATCTTTAATGATTTTTGTTTGTTTCACGCTTGGCAATCTGTTTGTTTTATCTCAGATTGTTTCTTGGTGCAATATATCCTTATTTATAAATTGATTTTCTGGGAATTTTGCTTGTATTTCCTTGTACATCGGAAGCGATTATTAAGCCAAAATTTGGCAAAAAAACACTTTTCTTTAATTTACTCAATTAAGTAAATACTGATGATTTACTAAATTAGAAGATTGCATTCTAGAACATCTAGAATATTCCACGTGTAATTTCTATAAATTTAATTAGCTGCAGTTCATTTTTTTAGGCTTAGGGTTTGCATATTACTTGCGTATTACTCAATACTAAATGATATACTAATAAGCTGTCTACTTTCAGTGATCTCATTTAATCTCTTCCAGTAAGCTGTATTAAAAAAAAGTAAATAAGAACTTAATATTAAGAATTTTTTTGTGCATTGTTAAGTGAGAAGGTTGTTCTTGTTAATTAAAGCAATTATTTTTTTAGTGTCTAAAGCAGCAGATCATAGATGTATATTCACAAGTTTGGTTATAATATACAATGCAATTGGGTTAAGTCTTTGTAGAGAAAGAAAATAATAAAATACAAATAGCCAATTAGCAGCTAAGAGAATTAGACTTTTTTATGATTTTTTTTCTGAACTTGCTAATCTCAGCCTTGACTCTCATTCAATTTGTTTAATACATTATAATCAAGTTATTATTAATAATCAGCTTTATAAGCATCTTGTAAGTCCCACTCAAAAAAATCAAATATTTTGGCTTAACATTAATAAGAATAATCTAAAATCTAACATCACCGATCTAGTAGTTAAACTTGATAGGATCAAATAATTTGTAAATTCAGTTCAACTAAAAAATTAACAAAAATCAGAATTAATAACAAGACTTAATAGTTGAATTGAGGAAATGCAAAGATATATATATAGTCAAGAAATCAAAATAGAAAAATTAAGAAGTAAATTAGATGATCAAGAAATCAAAATAGAGGAGTTGAGAAGTAAATTATAAAGAGCCTATAATAATATAGCTAAAATTCAAGATTTATGTGATGAAAAAATTAAGCATAATGAAATACTTGTTGAACAGTGGAATTCAAGATTTTCTAATTACCAAAAACAAATTAATTCAGTTATTGAAATAGCAAAGGCAGGTTAGTATAATACTAAATATATATATATATATATATTTTTAAATAATATTGATATAAATATTGGTTCAAGCTTTAATATTTATTATTAACAAGGTTCACATATATTTTGATCACAATTTCTAATATATACTTATGCTTTAATCTTTATTTCAGAATGAATATTATTATACAATAATATAGAATTGTTAATTAATAATAATGCTTAGTTTTCCATAGAGAATATTATAGTTTATAGTTCATATAAATGGCTTAATAGGCATAATTAGATTGTTGTCAAATTTATAAAGACTTTAGTTCAGAATGCTCAAGATAATACTTTAAGCAAAAAAAAGTTGTTTAAAACTGCTACTGCTATTAATTTAATATGTAGAGCATATCATGAAAGATATGTATTAGAAATTCAGCTTGCTCTTTCAGCTATTAAATATTCAATTGCCAGATCAAGATTGATTATTAATATTGACAATCATATTATAAATTTGAAAAATGAATACTAATTTCAAAAGTGGTTAGAAAAGTTGTCAAAGAATAAAAAATCTTTGCCTGAAGGTTTTTTATTTCTGGTATTTTACAATGAGCAAAGATAGCAAAAAACTATTTTGATTGGAGATTCAATATAGTAATTTACCACATTGTTACCTGCTTTGTTATTTTTAATATGATATCACTAAATAAAATTCAGCATACTTAATCACCTTGGGTTTATAATTCTCTTGACAGGTTGTAGTATAAAAAACTTTTCAATATTAGTTCTCAAGTACAAAAAGTTTTTGAAAAAGAATTATATATTTTTCTTAATAAAAATTTTGATTTATTGGTTGAAGTAAAATTATCCTCTAATAATACAATTAATTCTCTTATTTTATCTATAGGAACTAATATTATATGTATGAAAATGTTTTTTATATAATTGACAAAATATTAAAAATTGAAAGAAAAAATATCTGGGATGTGGAATACAGTTGCCAATATTAGCCAAGATACAAAAAGAAGAAGTAATTAAAATAATATAACCAAT